TAAATTAAATTTTATTAATTTATTGACAAGTTAAATTTAATTTAAAATTAAATCTGTCTCATATAGCTGATTAAAAATTTAATTTAAAATTAAATCTAACTAAAATCTAAGCACTGGCAGCAGGGGCCTTCGGTTTGATAAATTAAATATATTTACACTTGTTGTAATAACTCAAAATTGTTGTGAAATTTAGGGCATTTTAAATTGGACGACTGATAATAAATATTAAATATTTTAATTTAAGTTTCCAGTTGCCGATAAAAGGACAATATTTATGTTTAAATCTATATAAATAGCATAATATGTTATCCCATAGATTATCACCCATTATTTCATTAGCTTTAAGTTAAATAGATTTATCAATAAGTATATTTAAAAACTCAAACTTACAAGCCAATTACTTATTCCCTTGCAGCATCTGGTGTCCTACGTTGTTGGCGCTGCTCCACAGACGTGTCCAACGGCGAGTTCTGCAACGATCCATTTCAGTCGGAGAGCATCTCGGAGCAGCAGCGCTACTGGAGCTATGTGAATTGCACCTATTCAGTGGGTGTGAAATCGGTGAATGCGCGACCCGTCTGCAAGAAATTGGTGCAGGAAGGTAAGCCACAAACCACAAACCACAAACCGCAAACCACTAAACAACTAAACCACCACAACCACAAACCACACACAGATCAGCAGGGACCAGAGATAGGCAATTATTTAGCTCTGCCCGTTGGACTGTCAATGGGCATTGTTGTTGGGTGAGTGAGTGGGGCGACCCACCGGTGACTCGCACTCGTGTCGCTGCCGCCTGTTGTTGCCTGCCACAGAGCGTCAAACAAGATTGAGATTTATTGGCCTGACAGAGCAGAGCCGGCAAGTGCAGCATACAAATCCACAGAGGCAGCCGCAGCCACAGCCGAGACAATTGCTCGATTGCAAACGCTCCAGCTGCATGCTGCCAGCTGTTGCTGGGCGTCGACGCCGCAAGGCGTTGAGGGGCGGGTCGAGGTGGGGCGTGGCGAGCGCAACTGAACAAGTGGCTGCGACACTTGGCCCAAGCCGGGCCATGCCAGTTGCATGCGCCGCTAATTTACGGCAAATTTATGTGGCCAGAGAGAGAGAGAGAGAGAGAGGGATAGAGAGAGAGAGAGAGAGATAGTGGGTAGGGAAGGGAGCGGGACGGTGGCCGGCAGAGCAAACAAACGCCAACACACGCGGCGTATGAGTGATATTCGTGTTGCAGTCGTCGATCTTTGGCTGCGGCAACACAGCGCACTTTTCGATTTTATTTTGTTTGTATTTTTTATTGTTCAGCCAGCGGCGAGTGCAAATTGTGCTGCTTGTTGGCATTTGCATTTGACAAGCAACAAAGCAACAACAATAACAACAAACGCAAAATGAATTTGAATTTTTCCACACTGCTCAATTTGCCAAACGTTGCGTATCGTTGCAGTTTTATCTAACTCTGATATTTCTGAATAGTTTTTGATTTTTTATTGTCCACGCGAGCAAGAACAGCAGCAGCAGAAGAGTCGACAGCTTTGCATTTTCATTTCCGTTTTTATTGTTGTCTGTTAAGTGGGCCAAGTGCCAAGAGCAAAAAATAAAATTTTTTTTATATATTCATATATATTTTTTATGAGTTAAACTGAGATTTTTGCAGTTAATTTCCATTTGCGGTTCATAAAAAAATTATTTTGGTATTCATAAAATTGTGATTTAACTTGGCTAACTAATAAATTTGTTCAGCTTAAAATGGATTTTTTTATTGTCGTTGGCATTTTATTAGTTTGAAGTTTGAAATGGAGGAATAAATAAAAGTATATATATTTAATTTGATCACAATATTTTCAATTTTAAACGTACATATATTATTCGATTTCTGTTTGTCAAATCTTAAAGATTCTGGCAAAGTATAATAGAATATATTTAATTATTTAATAATCAATGATAGTTTTGATATTATTATGTTTATTTGTTGCTAAAATTATCTAAAATTGTATTGAAAATAAAAGATTTCATCTTGTTTCATATTTACAGAAAAGATACATATCTTTTCTAATAAATGAATAATATTTAAAAAAAATGTATATAAAAATAAAATAAATATATAAATTAAATGATTAATGATATTAAACATCAAATAATATTGAACTGCAATGCCGCTCTACCTGTTCTCGCTAGTCCGAGGTTCTTTTCCCTTGCTCGTTCTTCTTGGATGCTCACTCTCGTTGTGGGCATTCCCTCTGTGCTATGTCTACCTGTATTTTCTGCGGGCTTACAGTTTCTGAGCAAATGAAGAATATTCTCATTAAAATCAAGTTGAACTTTGACTTTGTGTTGGTAATTCGTCAAATGAAAAGGGAACAAGTTAAAATTGTATAATTTTTCCTTTTGGTAAAAAGAACATACCTATTTATATACAGTCTTTACACTGGTATATAGTCAAAAAATTCTTATAGGAATCCAATTTTTCTAACGCCGCTCATGATCCAGCTTTGTATTACTACATATATCAGTTGAATATGATCATTTTCTATAATCACACACATCTCTTCAGTTCAGTTCACCTTCAACTTGAATTGTCTGTAATCGAATTATAATTCGCTAATTGAAAAAGTGCAAACAAACTGTTGCACATAAATAATCTTATCGCTTGGCATACGATCAAGTGCCTGGCTTGGAGCGGGCCAAATTTCTTATGACCAATTAATGAACACCATTAAATTTTTGCAATCAAGCGTCTACAAATTGGCGCTGCGAATATTTGCAAAGATTTGCGGCTGGCAATTAAAATTGCAAACGGCAAATCTCAACCCAAGACTCAGCTTAAGGCGAGTACATAATATACGAAATAAACTAAGCTGCAACAACAAGAAAACAAACAAACGAAAAAAACATAGTTACATATAACATATACATATATATAAATTAATTAAGTTGTTGCACAGCGTGAAGCGCTCAATTACGGCAATGAGCAGGGAGTCGAGAGCCAGAGGCAGATGCTGAGATAGAGACTGGGGCAGAGGCAGAGGCAGAGGCAGAGACTGTGGCTGAGGCAGAATGTTAGTCTGAGAAAAATGCAACTAGGCGATGCTGTTGCTGTAGTAGAAGTTGTTGTTGTTGTTGCTGCTGCTGGTCAATTTATATGCCGTTAAATTAATTGCTTATGAAGTTTGGGCCGACGACTGGCTGAGCTTTTGGCAAATGTCAAATTAAAAATGTATTCCATAATTCCATAAAACTAACAGCCAAGCCAAGCAATTAGCTATTAGCTTGACTATGTCTGTTTGTGTGTGTGTGAGTGTGCGTTGCATTTTAGTTGTCACTGTGCGTCACTGTGTAAATATTTTGCAACTTGTTGCATTTTGGCTGCTCTCGACCAAAAAGTTGTCTTTGTGCTTTTGCCTATTTTGGGCCAATTGCGTTGCGTTGGCTCTTTGGATGTTGTTACTGTGAAAAATGTTGCCAACACACACTCTTACACACATACACACATTGCGATCAATAAATAATTAAATTAATTAAAATTTAAATTTATGACACAATGCTGCACTACCAACTCGGGTTTCAAGCTCGCGCACGCGGCGTATGCGCGATTTGGTTTCTGTTTCCTTAGCGCTCGCAAATTTTCAATTTTCTTTGGTCGCTGCAGCTGGCAACTGCATTCTGTGCGCCTTGTTTGATGCCGCGGCCGTGATAAGGCGACAATTGTCAACAATTTTATTAGAGACTTGGACACGCTCTCTCTCTTTCACTCACACACACTCAGCTTGTGTGTGCCATCTCGCTCGCACTTCTAGACTGCCTCTTCTTGCAGCCAATCACAAAAATGGTCAACGCGCACCTTTTTGAGTCGCTTTTAAAGTTTTATTTCATTTTATTGCGATTTATTTTAGTTGATTTTGTTTTATTTCTTTGCTTGATATTTGTTGCTGTTATTTTTTTTGTTGTGTTCTGTTTGCGAAATACGCACACACACTCACACACGCACGCACACTCACGCATTGGGAAACGCAATTTGTTGTGCATTTTTTCTGGTTTTCATTTGCCGTCTCGCTGATTGCAAATTGTCTCGGTTTGCCGAGTCTCGCGTTCATTTTGGCAGTGTATGCTGCGGTCAGCTCTAGACATAGTTGGAGGCCTCATTTTCTGTTGGTGTTTTTCCTTGCCCGGCTGAGCCTAGCCTAGCTTAGCCTAGCCTAGGTTAGACTTATTCTGCCCAAGTCAAGCAGAGTCGATTGCACTCAACTTGCATGCGTTTCGCGCAGTGCAAGCCTTGAACCCATTTTGGCTAGTGGTCTCTTTACCGTTCAGCCAGCTCTAGCTGTCGATATTTAATATTATGTCTTATCTTTGATATTGCCTTATTTATAGAGCTTTCACATTGATAGCAATCAATTTTATCGAAGCTTCCTTGTTGGTATGCCTTTACATTAGTAAGCCAATAACTACGTTTTTTTTAAGCTCAGCTGAAAATTTGTGTTTATTTTTAGTTTTAAAAAATATTTTGATAAATGTTCTCAATATTTTAAATGAGCTACAAATAAATATGACAACAGAATTTTAAATTAAATAAATTACTAGCTTAAATTGGCTTAAAAACCGAATGACAAATTTTACTGAGCATTTGAGCAGTTAAATATTATCAATAGAAACATCGGCTGGAATATAATTATTAGACAAAGTAACATTCAACCATGTCAAAAAATATTTTTAAAAAATTTTCCATTTTGATTAAGATCTTAAATAGCTGTAACATTGGCTGAATTATTTATTATATTAGCAAATAAACAAGTCTCAGGTGAACTGCTGAAAACGTATCTGATTACCTTAAGCAAACATTTATGCTCCATGTACTAAGAAAGCGCTCAATTTGCTTGAAAATTGTTGGATTTTTATTTTTGTTTGCTATTTAATGGGTAGAAAAAAAAACCTCTGGCATATTGCATCAGCTGCACTTACCTCATGGCTCGACTATTTGGCAGGAAGCCATTAGCCAGCGGCAGTTGATCGACGATTTGGACGACATTCGAAATGACATTTTTGAGATAAGTCAAACCGAAGCGAAGCCCACGCCAAAGCAGCGTGCCACATAAATTACATTCATTTTTCTCTCAGTGTCCGTAGCTACATATATTAATATATGCATATGAATATATTAATGCAGAAATTGTTGTCGAGCAAATATTTAAAGTTGATTATGGCATTCGTTTCATTGCAGTCTACGGCAAGCGGGTAATTTCACGCTCCTGCTTCTACGAGGATGTGGATGATCCGGCAGACAAATGCGCCATGGACACGACCTCATCCTACATCAAGACCATTTACTGCCGCACTTGCACCACGGACGGCTGCAACTCGGCTGGCGGTCTGTCGGGCTTGGCGGGGCTGCTGGTGTTGCCGCTGCTCGCCGCGCTGCGGCAGCTATGCAAATGAGCCAATGGCTGGGAAAAGTGAAATGATGTGGGAGGAGACTGCACTTAATTGCATGATGCGAATGAAGCAAAACTGAATTTAAATCTTACAAATTCCTTTGAGCAGACAGGACACAAAAACACATCAAACAGCAAAGATTTTCAAAAATTTCATTTAACTCTTTTAATGCAAATGGCACAAACACTCGGCACTTAATAGCTGACAGTCACACTTCGTTATATACATATATATATA